CATTCACACTTTTTATACTATTTTTTAAAACTTGGCAGTTTTTTAAGTTGTTTTTTTATTGTTTTTACAGATTAAAAATATGTTTGTTGGAGATTTAAAATAAAAAAGTAATTTTTTTTCACAAACTGTCCACAACTAACAGTCACTTACTGAACCATGTTTTTTTTCTACAACAGGAAATTGTGCCGTTCACCGTGAAGAACTCTGGTCCTGGAAAGGTTTATTTAAATCTTCAGTCTCCTGAATTTGTGAAAAACATTTTCTCTCTCAGAAACAGTGATGGAAACAGAATCAGATCGATCAAGAATTATGCCATTTATCCAGGTACGTTGGGTTTGAGTGTCAAGCTTCACAGCTAATGTGGCCACAACATGGCTTTGCGTGGCTGTGCTAAAATGTTGTGTAGCTATGAGTGTTGCTCACTGCACAAACTGTGTCTGTTTGTCAGCAKAATATCACATGAACCACTAGACAGATTTTAATGAAACTTTAAGGAAGTAATTATTACATCTACAGCTGATAGACGTTGAATATTAGATAACACAAAATTAATATAACTTTGTGAAATAAAGCAAAAACACTTTGTTACTTCACATAGGTAGAAATGTTGGCTATCTATACTTTACTTGATTAAATATTTCCCAGACAATGTTTTTCTTCTATTCCTTACATTTTCACACAATAATTTGTACTTTCTACTTTTTATATTTGAAAAAAATGCAAGAAGTAGAAAGTTTTTACTCCGACTTAATTTGGACTTGTTTTCATTCCAGCTGATTATTAAAAAAATAAAAAGTAAAACCTTTCCAGATACATTATATTGATCCTCTTAGTGAAATTAGCTGTGGTTGGATGAGAAATATAAACATATACTATTCCAACATCCTATTGGTTTGTACGATCCATCACACCTGTACATGACACAAATCATGTCACACTCCAGCAGAACATAGACATATAGCCTGAGGATAACAGTGGCAGAGATGTATGCAGGTGAAACTGTGTCCCACATTTTTCAACTTTATCATTTAATATAGCATTATAGTCATTAAGACCTTAAGAAAAATGTTTTTAGTGAGGTCACCTCCCGYTAAATGTCATTTCAAAATGCCGGTACTTGATTACATTTACTTTGGATATTTAAATACAGTAAACATTAGATACTTTGGGACTTTTATTCAATTTATATTCTTAGAGGAGACTTTAACTTTTACCAAAGTAATTTTATGGTACTATACTTTCACTCAAGTCACTTTGAGGTACTTTATACAAATGCTAACAATCAACTCTGAAATATAAATTAAATATAATGAAATATAATAAACCTGATTTGACCCCTCAAAAGTTACTTAAGGCCCAATTTTTTTTAAATCACTTTTTCAACAGTCATTTTTCAGTCGCCTAACTCGAGTAGGTTTTTTTTTTTTCAAGGTTTCCCACAGGAGTTGAATTTCAACATTTTAATACACGATATAATACAAACATTTTGGTGAAGAAATTGTTTGGTAGCGATTTAGTTTGCAAATTTTCACATCTTTCCCTCACTATTCTAGACTGCTCTTCAAAACCCGCCCCCTACCTGATTTTTGGCCCACCTGGCACAGGTACACTTATCACTCATGCTTGCATATGAAAGCTGTCTTGTTTTGCATTTCCAAAATCATTTTGTTTTTATTTATTGTTATTTTTTTTTCTTTCTATTGGGGGCTCAGGCAAAACACAAACCTTGGTGCGAGCCATCAAGGAGATTTCGAAAAACCCCAACTGCCACATCCTGGCCTGCGCTCCCTCCAACAGCGCAACTGATCACCTCTGTGAGAAGATTCTGGAAGGAGGAGTTGGCGCAGACAAATTGTTTCGCTTGTACCCTTTAAGCTTCCCTGTGAGAAACATCCCTCAGAGTCTGCTGGTATGGCTGTTACAACTGTCCTGTTTTGCCGTTGATGTTAAAGTGCCTGTGACATCCAGTTTTTGCATTCAGTATAAATGCATTTTTTAAGACAGAAAATATTGATAAAATATTACAGAAAAAAAATCACACTGCTGAAATGAACAGTTGTTGAGATATGTGTGTGTGGAGTAACAGGAAGTGATGTCAAAGGAGAATATCTGCATGTAAACAGAGTTGCTACAACAGCTAACAACACTGCAGCAACGAATCTGAGTTTCTTTAGATCATTTTGAGTCGCTAACAGAGGGAGATGTAGAACAATAATATTGTTTTGAGGGGAATTTGTGATCATTAGCAAAACAAACATTTGAATCTCTTCTAAAAACGTAATTCTTGGCTCTGATTCCAATCAGATCCACAGTCAGGCTTCATTCAGCCAGAAGGCCTTGGGGGCTTTACCGGAACATAAACTAATAAGAAACTCTCAGGAGCAGCATACATCTCAGGTTGAATCTAAGGGAGAGACATAACTAACAAACAAAACTCAGCTACAATCTTCTCCCTTACCACAGTGATGAATCAATCTTTTAATGTCTCTGACTTCCTGGTTACACCCATGGAGGCGTTAACTTTTATGTTAGACGTTAGAACGTGACCAAGTTTTGTTTATGAAGATAGAAAGAACACATCGACATGACACACTCATTCTCTGTTTAAACCCCATCGCCTGCAATGATCAGAATGTATAAAAATACAAAACTGGATCTGACATTTAACCAGTTACAAAACTTCCTTCAGTTTCATTGAACAAAGACCAGTAAGTTCCCTCTTCTAAAGAGTTCTCCTTCAATGCCACTTCCTGTTTCACTTTTTTTGAGCCTTCAAAATAAAGTATGCCAGTTATTTGACAAAATTGATGTCAACCATATGTATCATGCCATGCTTTTTGAATATGAAGATGTTTTCTTTGGTTTTTTTATTTATTTATTTATTTATTTATTTATTTATTTATTTATTTATTTATTTATTTATTGCATTTGAAGGATATGCATGTCACAGACACTTTAAGTTTTTTTTTCTTTCTAGCAGAGTCAAGCCACACTGATATCTGTAGACCAGGATGTCTACCGGTAATTCTTTAATAAGAAAAACAACATGCTGCTTTCTAAAGCAAAATGAGCTTACTGTAGACCCACTTTATCTGATTCTTTGACGTGAACTGAGCTGCATTTTTATTGGCTCTGCATGTTTCTAACGGCTCTGGTCTCGTCTACAGATGAACTGCAACCTGAACCCGAGAGGCAACGCACTGGAGATCCCATCTAAAACCAAGCTGATGGGTTACCAGATCATGGTCACAACCCTGCAGACCGGGGGAAGGTATTTCTAGCAGAAGCAAGCATTCATTGAAATAAAACATGCAGCAAAAATATAAATAAATAAAATAAAATAATAAAAAAACAAATTTTCTACTTCCAAATACACTTTGATTATCTGTGGTTGTAAAAAGCCAGACTCCATTTAGGTGTTGCTCTTAGTGACTTTTCTTAAGAACAGCTGTGACTGATCTAATTGGGTGTTGGAGGGTGGAACAAGTGATGGTAAAAAAATAATAATGTAAAGATTTTTTTATTAAGAAAGACTGGATATGCATACACTTCATCTCTTTCCAGACTGGTGACAGGAGGAATACCCTCCGGACATTACTCTTACATCTTTGTGGACGAGGCAGGCCAGGCCTCAGAACCTGAGTGTTTAATACCCATATCAGGTGATGGAAAGAACAGTCTTCACATGTGGTATTTGATGATTTGTTTGTTGATTTGTGTTCACTGTGTCTTCCCAGGTTTACTGAGAACAGAAACGTGCCAGGTCGTACTGGCTGGTGACCCCAAACAGTTGGGCCCCATTGTCAACTCAAAGATAGCAGAGAAACAAGGCCTTGGTGAGTTGCTAACATTTTTTTTTAATAAACGTTTGTTAGAAAAAAATATTTAAACTGTAAACCAGTTTTGAGTTTTCAGATGAGTAAAACTTCATTTTTAATAAATTATACCTCTCACAAGATGATTTTATTAGTATTTATTTCACACAGCTTCTTTTACGTTTTAGTAACACAGCTCTTTGAAATGCTTATCTTAAAACTTTCAAACTGTTATAGAAAGTTTGATGTCAAACTTTTCCAAATGCGTTGTTGGAAAAATGCAACCTAATAACTAAATCTATGGGACAAAGTGGTTCAAAGAGATTTTGCTTGTTGCAGGTGTGTCCATGTTGGAGAGGCTGATGAGGGACATCAGTCTGTACCAGAAACACGAGAGATATGGGTTCAATCCTCACTTTGTCACTAAACTGCGGATTAACTACAGGTTTGCTTCTCGACATTTCTCTTTCAAACTTCATCGTAATATTGCTTTTTGGATAAAACCGCATGCTATCCAAACTTCTCTGTAGCTCATATTTAATCTCTCTCTCTCAGATCCCATCCTCCCATTTTGAAAATTCCAAACGAGTTGTTTTATGACGGAGAACTCAGGACTTGTATGCGCCCAGAGAGTAATTCCTACACAACATGGGAAGGCCTGCTTAGGAAGGTAACGGGGGCACAGAGCATATTTAAATACTGTATCTTCTATCTCCGGTGTTCTCATGTCTTTTCTCTGGGTTTCAGGATTTCCCTATGATCTTCCACGGCGTGGCAGGCACTAAACAACGTGAATCGGGCTCCCCGTCTCTTTACAACATGGCAGAAGTCAACGTATTGATGGAATACCTGAAACTCCTCATCAAACACCTCCGCAAAACAAGTGTGGGCAGCATTCAACCCCGAGAAATTGGCATCATCGCCCCATACAGAAAACAAGTATTATATCAACATAATAACATATGAATACTTTAACATACATGCAATATAATTTAATTTTAAACCATTATTATCAAGGCACACACATATAAGGAGAAATGGTAGTAATGCAATGGCCAGCATGATGGATTAGTGGCTAGAACTGTTGCTTCCAGGTCCAGGGTTCAAACCCTGGTTCTTCTTATGTTTGCATGAGTTTTGTACTAGATCTGTACCTGCTCCTTCCCAATTATGTACCTTGCTCATTTGGTACATACTCTGTAAGTTCTAGTTAAGATATGGCCCCTGTAAGAACCAAAATGATCCAAGTTACTAGTGGTACATACCAAGTAAGTACCAGGTAAGAACCTATGTACCAGTATCATGTAAGCACCTACTCTGTAAGCACCAGTCACATACTCAGTGAGTACCATATACAGCATGTAAGCACAATGTACATATTAAAATGTATTACTTATTTATATCAATATTTGTTTGACAGGTGGAAAAGATCCAAAAAGCCCTTCAGACCGACAAAGATCTCAGCAAAGAAAATCTGGAGAACATACTGGTATGAAGATAGAAAGTATTTAATTGGTTTTAGAGTTGTAAAGTAATTAAGTACAAATACTTTGTTACTGTACTTTAGTAGAATTTTTGGGTATCTGTACTTTACTGGAGTAATTATTTTTCAGCCTACTTTTTACTTCAATTCAATTCAGTTCAAAAAATACTTTATTGATTCCAGAGGGAAATTAGGTGTTGTTGTAACTCCTTTAACTAAAAACTTATTGTAGATGCTGATGGCTGTGGGCAGGAAAGATCTTCTGTAGCGGTCTGTATTACAGCAAAGTTGAAGAAGCCTCTGACTGAAGACACTTTGTCTTTCTATGACAGTCTGATGAAGAGGATGGTCAGGGTTGTCCACAATGTTCTTGATTTTATGTAAAATCCTTCTTTGCACCATCATCTCCAGAGATTCCACAGTCGTCCCCAGAACAGAACCAGCCTTCTTTATCAGGTTGTTTAGCCTTTTTAGGTCCCTGGCTCTGATGCTGCTGCCCCAACAGATGATGGCAGAAGAGATGACACTCTCAACAACAGACTTGTAGAAGATCTGCAGCATCTTGCTGCAGACATTGAAGGATCTCAGCTTCCTTAAGAAGTACAGTCTGCTCTGTCCTTTCTTGTAGACTGCTTCACTGTTGAGTCTCCAGTCCAGTCTGTTGTCCAGATGAACACCGAGGTATTTGTATTCCTCAACCACCTCCACTTCTTCTCCCATGATGGAAACAGGGTTTGATCTAGCACTATTTCTCCTGAAATCTACAATCATRTCCTTTGTTTTGTTCACATTCAAGATGAGATGATTGTTCCCACACCATGTCACAAAGCGGTCCACCAGCTCTCTGTACTCAGCTTCCTGTCCATCTCTGATACACRCAACAACTGCAGAGTCATCTGAGTATTTCTGTAGATGACAGCAGTCTGACTTGTGCTGGAAGTCTGAAGTGTACAGTGTGAACAGGAATGGTGAAAGTACAGTTCCCTGTGGTGCTCCTGTGCTGCTGACCACATGGTTAGACACACAGTCCTTCAGTCTCACAAACTGTGGTCTGTTTGTCAGGTAGTCTTTGATCCAGGTGATTGTTGGGGCCTCCACCGGAGTCTTCTGGAGTTTCAGACAAAGCAACTCAGGCTGAATTGTGTTAAAAGCACTGGAGAAATCAAAGAACATGATCCTCACAGTGCTGCCTGCTTTGTCCAGATGACAGTGGGTTTGTTGAAGCAGGTGTATGATGGCTTCATCAACTCCAACTCCACGACGATAAGCAAACTGCAGGGGGTCCAGATGTGTGCTTGTTTGCTTACTCAGGTGGGTCAACAGGAGTCTCTCTAGGACCTTCATGATGTGGGATGTCAGGGCAACAGGTCTATAGTCATTGAGGGCTGATGGGTGAGTTTTCTTTGGTACTGGAACCAGACAGGATATCTTCCACAACTCTCGCACCGTCTCCTGGGTCAAGCTAAGGTTGAAGAGGTGTTGCAGAATCCCACAGAGCTGGTCTGCACAGGCCTTCAGGACTCTGGGGCTAACATCATCTGGACATGCAGCCTTGTTCTGGTTCAGTCTCTCTAGCTGCCTCTTCACCTGACTTCTAGATACAGAAAAGTTGGAGGGGGAGGGAAAGGGAGCAGCAGCATCTCCTAATTTACAGTAGTTGAAGACAAATTTGTGGATGTAGAAGAAAAGTCCATGACTGAGGTTGAAGATAAAACATCTGAGGTTTGACAGGAAAGCTGTGGGTCAAAGGAGGGTGAGATGTCTGTTTGGCTGGAGGCAGGAAAGGAGGAAGGTGAGCTTGTTCCTGAGCTGAACCTGTTGAAGAATGTGTTCAGCTCATTTGCTCTGTCTAGACTTCCATCCATCTGATTCTCCTTTTGCTTGAAACCTGTGATCTTCTTCATCCCTGACCACACATCTCTGATATTGTTCCTTTTCCTTACATTTTTTTTAAAAAGGCAAGAAGTAGAAAGTTGTTACTTTTATTTCATTTTTGCTTGTTTTCATTTCAGCTTGTTATAGTAAAAAATAAACACTATCCATATAAATTGTGCCTCCTCGATAGGGTGAATTTAACTGTGGTTGAATGAGAAGTAAAAAAATATAAAATTCTGATAACTTATTAGGTTGTACACAAACAAATCATGTCACACTCCACCAGGTCATAATTATTAAAATAAAAGGACTGTACTTAAGAAGTATTTGTATTTCATGAATTATATTATTGCATTTGGCCACAGCCCTCAGATAGATTTTCATTTTGGGGAAAAGCTTTGGGCAGCCTTGATATATGTATATAAACTGAAACAGCTGGACTAGTGCATCCTAAATTTAACATAAATTTATTATTTTAATACAGCAGTCATTTCTGCATTTTTTAGGGAGATCACCTCCTGATAAATGTCCTTACAGAAAATTTGCTCATTTTAAATCAATACTTTTACTTTTAATACTTAAGTACAGAATATGTCAGATACTTTAATACTTTTACTCAAGTAATATTACTAAAGGAGACTTTAACTTTCACCAAAGTATTTTTTTGGTAACGTACTTGTACTTTTACTCAAGTATCACTTTGTGACACATCCACAAAAAAAAAAAAAAAGTATCACTTTGTGGTACTTTATACAACTCTGTTTAGTTTTAAAACATATTCTAAAAAGAAAAAAAAGTTCCCTTCATAAACAAGGTACGCCTTTTGTGTTTTTGCAGGTTGGAACTGTGGAGGCGTTTCAGGGCAAAGAGTTCAATGTGATTCTGTTGTCTACCGTGCGAAGRAATCCCAAACTGACTGAATACAATGAAAACATCAATTTGGGCTTCCTCAGCAATGAGAAGGTGAGAAACACTCATTTTTCCTTTCATAGTTCCAAATAGCTGCAATTTCATTTTTGGAAGAGTATGTCTTCTTAGTGGAAATAAAACAAATCATTTTTTATCTGGCTGCCAACTAAAACGTAACTTTTTTTAGAGGTTCAACGTGGCATTGACTCGAGCCAGAGCTCTGCTGATTGTGGTTGGAGACCCCAGACTTTTGGAAACTCACTATATGTGGAGCAAGTGAGGCACTGAATTGTCATCAGATGTCCGTGAGAATAGCTAAGATCAGTTTGACGTGCCTTATATTCTGCTTTTTTTTTATTATTAATTTTAGGTTTGTCCATTACTGCCAAAAGGAAGGATCGTACCGAGGCATCACACTTCTCAAAACAGAGGAAGACACGCTGGCAGCTGCATGCCACCAAGCCCCTGGTAACAAGCACATTATCATCATCATATGCACAACTAAAAGGAAAATTGCCTTGATAATTAAAATATGCTTGTGTTATATACCCAACAGGAACAAGGGATGTGGAAACCCCTGTGCTCTGCTGGAAGAATGAAAATAAACGTCAACGTATAGCATAGTTTATCATCTTCTCCTTTGACTGCTTTTTCAAGTTTACTGAGATCTTTCAGCATCTGCAGATGAGTGCAGATGATTTTTGTGTCACTATGCATCATTCACACCAAATCTTTTCTGTCAGCATTGCTGATTTCCTTCAAGGAAAGCAACAGTACTGATAGTAATTGTATAATATTTATTTTCTTCCATACATGCATATTTTAATTTTAACGTTTGTTCTGGTGTAATTCTAGGTACAGCAAAATGACTTCTTTGAAAAAGTATGAAACCTACACAGAGCTACTCATGATCATTTTAAGATTTAATGTTAAAGTAAAGGGTACACTTTAAAAAAAAATTTCCAGCACAATTTAGAAAGGAACAGGGAGTTCAGCATAATTCTCTATCAGTTGATATGCATGACATATTACATTCTATATTCAGCTTCAGGCCTCCATGTATCTGCATCAGAAAATGAGTTTAACGTAAATATGTACTTTTGAGATCATTATGTGTATGGA